ATTATGCCCCCTCACCATCACTTCCCCCGTCAACATCACCTCCCCACCATCACCCGCTCACCATCACCCGCCTCTCCCACTCACCATCACCCACCTCTCCCACTCACCATTACCATCACCCCCCTCTTCAAGCAGCTACCCCATACACATAGGGTACCAGACAAAAATGTAAACATGCTCACAGAGACATACATTCACACACACACACACACAGACACACTCTCAGGCACATACACAGGTAAACTGTGCATGTATTGCAACTCTATTTTTTTCACTTTTTTGTTAGTGGGGCCTCATGTTTGAGTTTCGCCTAAGGCCTCATAAAGTCTAGAGCCGCCTCTGCAGAAGGAGCCTCAGAAGAAAAAGAAGACTGTGTCAAATGAAGGAGAAGAAAATGAGACTGGAGCATTTCATTCTGGACACCACATCGTAAGGCTTTGGTACCTGGGCCTGGCAGGGAAACTTCAGACCTTCTCATCTCCCCAGGTAAAAAAAAATATCAGTCTTAATGTGTTCACTTTAATTTAGATTGTCAGGAAACACCGAGGGCCGCTGGGTAGAGGTGCCGCTGATTGGCTAGAGGGTCAGCTGGCACTCTAAGCCAATCAGTAGCTCCCCATTCATGAAAACGTAAAACATTTTTATGAATCGGGAACTAGCGATTGGCTTAGAGTGTCAGCTGACCACTCTAGCCAATCAGCGGCACCCATGCCTGACACTCCGTTTAAGAAGCTGAATACCACTGAGCGACCTGGAGATCTGGAGCTGGAGGAAGCCTTTGGTGGTAAGCCATTTGAGAGTGTTTTCACCCCTTAAAGGAAAGAGAGCACCCAGGGGCCTCCTTGCATCATAGCATTTTAATTTAGTTGAAGTTGTTATGGTGACCAGAATGTTCCTTTAATTTGATTAAAGGAACACTATAGTGTCAGGAATACAAACATATATTCCTGACACGATAGTTGTGAAAACGCTATTCACCCTGGCTTTATGTGATAATGGCTATGCCCCTTCCCTTTCATGACACTGTCAAAAAGGGGCCAAGCATGGATGTCATTACAATTATGCCCCCCCCTGGAAAAATTCCTGCGGACGCCCATGCCAAGCACCATAATCAGCGATGTATTTTCCGCGAGGCTGACTGACAGACACACACACACTGACAGATATACACACACAGACTCAATGACAGACACACTCAATCACAGACACACAGACAGACATACACACACACTGACAGATACACTCACTGACAGACACGCACACACTCACTGACAGACACACACACACCCAAATTCACTCACAGACACACACTGACAGACACACACAATCACTAAGACACACAGGCACACTCACAGACCCTTAGTCACAGTCACACACTAACAGATATACACACAGAGACACTCACAGACATACTGACAGACATACACACACACACACACACACACACATTTTCCCACTCACAGATTGTTATATTTTTAATTTTATTTCTAACCACCCAGCCTCCCTTCCTTTTGGATAGCTGGGTCGATTTTTACCTGGGGTCCAGTGGGGCAAGGCTGCTGGGCAGGAATGCAGGAAGGCAGGTGGGCGGGCGTGCCGGCACTCTCTCTGCTTGCGCGCCTCAAAGAGTGATGCCGGGAGCCGGAGTGGGATAGACATGAGGCTATCTTAGATATAAGAAACTAATGAAAGTATTTAGAAAATTGGTCAGACTAGATGGGCCGAATGGTTCTTATCTGACGTCACATTCTATGTTTCTATGTCATATTCTGGCTCCCGCCATAACTGCAGTGCAGCGCTCCCTTGCCGCCCACCTGGGAAAGAACTGGCAGCCTGCCCCGTGGCTAACAAGGCATTAGTGTGGGCATTTAGGGGCAGTGTTTTTTGCCGCCCCCTGTAAAGTGTGTCACGTATTCATTCGCTTATGAAAATGTGGTTAATGGCATTTACTGTCCACACAGGAAAAGTTGTGCTGAGCAGCAACCAGATCCACAGAAGGGTTAATGCTGAGCAGCAATTATGCAAATTGAACCTGGTAACTGCCTTTGGGGTCAAAGGCCAGTTACAGCCTATCAGATCTAGAGGAAGGGTATTTAGGCCCAGTTCTCATCCTTCTCTGCGCCCTGTCGTGGTTTACCTTGTGGTTGTCCGAGAGCCCGTTATTGATTCTGGTTATTCTGGTAATTTGACTTTGGCATTGTTTTTGACTTTCCTGTTTTCTGGCATCCCTGACTCCTGGCTTTTCCTTATCGTTGTGTCTCTTTTCTGTATCCCTTGACCTCGGCTATTCCTGACTATTCTTTGGTACGTTAGTCCGGCCATTCTAAGGTCCGGTATACGTTACCTATCAGTCCTCTGTGTTACACAATTCTACGTGCTGGATCATTCTGTAATCCTGACATTACGACATGGCCATAGATCCTGTAGAATTGTGTAAGCACATAGCTGCTTGTGAAAGGAAACTGGAGGATAATGATCACTGCATGGATCAATTTGCCCAGGCCTTCAGTACGCTTCTTACCCAAACAGCGCATCAGCAACCTGCGGCCTCACGTCCACCTTGTGTACCTCCAGCTATATTACACAAGGCACCTACTATCTCCCTATCTCCTCCCCTGCATTTTGATGGTAATATTCAAGAATGCCAGGGATTTATTAACCAAATGGGGTATAATTTTGATGCCTCACGGGATCTTTTCCCACAGACAGAGCTAAAATTGGTTACCTAATGAATCAATTAAAAGGTAAAGCTTTAGCTTGGTCCAATCCATTATGGGAGAGTAATAGGAGTGTGGCACACAATTACCAGGCGTTCCTTACGGAATTCAAACTTACGTTTGAACCTTTAGGCAGAGAGGATGACGCCTCTACTTCCC